GGGCGGATCGGAGAGCGGAGATCGCTGTGGTTCTGGCGCTCCTCGGCCGTGTCCCCCCTCACCCTCACGGCTGAGCAGCTCTTCACCCCAAAACCACGCTCCAACAGCCCTTCCGTGGGCATGGATCCCTGTGTACCCTCTACAGCAGGATAAAAGGGTGGGAGAGATCCTGAGCCCTTCCACAGAGTGTTTTCTGAGAACGGAACAAGACTTCCATACAAGTACTTTTAATAAAATAATGTTCCGGCCCTATAGAGCTGGCCTGCCCAATGCCCAAAGTACCAAACAAATACGGGAGGAATTTAGAATAAACGAAGGGGGAACTGCTATGTGTAATTGAGACCAGATTTCCAAACTCAAACCTTTATTTCCACAGTAGCAGGAACAGCAGGGCAGCATCCATTCTCCTGCAGCACCCAAACTCATACAGGATAGCAAGATTATCCCAGCAGGGATGTTTAACCATGTGAATTCCACTTGTCGCTGCTGGGGTGGGACAAGAGAGGGAAGAAGGGACAGTGTTTGCTTTTTACCTTTTTCACGAGTGACAGTAAACTTCATATGAAGTAGCAAACTGAGCCATAATACATCAATAACTCTGTCACAAGTCTAGACTTCCTCAGGTTGCCCAGAGCAGCTGTGGCTGCCCCTGGGTCCCTCAAAGTGTCCAAGGCCAGGGCTGGACAGAGCTTGGAGCAACCTGGGATAGTGGAAGGTGTCCCTGCCATGGCAGGGGTGACAAAAAATGGCATTTAAGTTCCCTTCTGACCCAACCCATTCCATGGTTCAAAACAAAGCAGCTCATATAAAGCACTGAGATGTTCCAGAAAAAATATATTTAATTTTACAACATACAACAAAAATATATTTAACTTTACAATATAAAACAGTTGTTGGAAGAAATTTCCTGAACTATTTTCTTTAAGGCACCTAAGAGGAAAGAAAAACAAAAAAGAGAAGGCAGTAAGATAACATGCATTAGGATCTGGAATTGACCAAACAACTGTGAAAGGACTTCAGTCAAATTACTGGAAGAATTTTATGGAAGCAGAAGGGAAAGACAGTCTGGTTCCCTCTAAGTCCTTCTTCACACTACTACACACTAACAACATCAGCTGTAAGGCAGTTAAGAACCCAAACAGAAAAACTAAGCTATGATTCTTTCCAACATTGCATTCTGAGTATAAAGTTCCAAAAAAAAACTCATCACTTAACTGACCATCAAACTCAAAAATAAAGGCGTTTTTCTCCCCAGTTAATCATTGCATACAAGGCTAGATTACATTTTGTTTCATGAAGAGGGCAAGAACACAGCAATTCCAGGTGTTACAGTCACCCTGCTTACAGTTCTTTTGCATTTGTCACACACAGATTCAGAGTTGTGCTCAAAGAACTTACTTGAATAGTTACTATGTCTCCAATTCTTCTTCAGTCTGATAAAGAGGGGGAATCATAGCTTCTGTAATCTGAAATGTTTCTATGATCTCCTGGTTAGAGATGACAGCAGTGTGTCAGTCAGCAGAGATTAACTATTTCAATGTAATTACCACCAAGCAAGTAATAAAGTTTCTGATACTGAAGTACTATTTCAAATTACTACATTTCTGCTGCAAATTCTGAGTGAGGGACAAAGGAGAAGAAGTATGTGTGCTCACAACTACTTTTTGTCTAAGATACAAACAGTGAGAAATTGCATGGGTAACTTTACCTCCAGACATAAATATTGTATATTAGGGAAGAAATAGATCCCATATTGTTGCAGAAAATGAGGTCTTTGTCGGAGATGAGCTATTTGTCGGTGAGGGGAGACTCAGACACTCAATATGAGTGATAAGCAAATTCCATTTATTGAAGAGAGCATCAGACACTTATACAGCGATTAATAAACTTATGAACATTCTGTAAGCTAAGCAATCTATTGGTTAAACTATACTATCAACTCTTCCTCATTCCTTAGGGGTTACATCTCTCTTTTCTCATGTCTCTTTCACTGTTTGTTATCTTACTACAGCTAGGCCCAAGGACACTGCTATCTCACAGGTGCAGGACTTGGAATTAGCCACGATTTTGTACTTTTCTAGTCTTTAGCAACTAAATTCTCAACACCATATTGACCCAGGCCTTGTATAAAACAGTGAAGCCAGTGCACAGCTTGAAAACACTTAAACTGACCAGGCTTCAGGAATCAAAGATGGCATCACAACCCAAATTCTCAGTTTTCCTGCAGCTACAACCATCCCTTAGATCTGTGACTGTTCTGGCAGCCATAAGGTCAAGAGCATTGTTTCTGCACACAGAACAGCTGCCCTCCCCAGCACAGCTCTCAGAGGCTTAAAGAAAAAAAGAAAACAGAACTGCTCCAAAGCATGAAGTGCTGTCCATGGTACCTTCCATTGGCTCTGGTCCAGACTTATGACCACCTGGTTCCGTGCTGCAGCTCTGCTCTCCTCCTCCCCCTCTCTGGGTTTGACAGGCTCTGATCCAAACACAGCATTTTCAGCATTTACACTTGTCAAGTCTGTTTCCACACAAAAGCTTCACAAAAATCAGATCAATCCTACACATTCCACCCAGTTAGTCTCAATCAGCAGCCTGTACCATGTACTGCTGGAGATACTTTCATAGTCACCCATCTTAAAAACTTAGGACTAACTTTTTTCAGGAGGACCTAAATATTTCATTCCTTACAATATCCCACCAAAGTCTTAACCCCACTGACATCCTATGGGAATGAAAGCCAATCTTGTATGAAGAATGAAGAATGAATTCTTCATTCAACCTTGAATGAAGGATTTCCCTTCCAACTGTTTTGAAGCTGCAGCAGTTCCCAACTCTGAGACAAGAGAGTTCTTACACCCAAAGATATCTTTGTTCAGCCAAGTGTAATAATGTTCATTACTTATTAGCAAAAATACATCTTGAAAGGTAATAACCTTTGATTTCTATTAATGGAATTAATTTGTATGGTCTTTTTCATATATTAATATTTGAAAAGATTCAATCCTTTCAGCTGCCCATAAATGCTTTCATACCTTCAATTACATTCACTGCATATCCCCAGTTAAAAATATACCTAAAAACTTTGTGAACATGCAACATGTAATGTTGTTACAATTAGAATATTTTAAAGCTGTATTTTACCTATTATTGGCAATTCATCTTCATCCAGCTTTATTTCTGCAAGACCATCCTAAACAACAGTGGGATTTAAAGTTTTATAACTTAAGAGTTTTCCAGTTAGGATGACGCACTGAAAATTCATATTTTTACTTATTACATAATCATGAACAGGTACATATACTGATAAAGAATACCACATAAGAAAAAACTAGTTTAATACAGCACTTATGCATAAAGAAGGCAGTCCATATAGCAACAATGTGTAACTGCTGGATTATAAAAGTTATGCTTTATTTAAATCATTGCTATTCTCTAAATATACTTGAGCTAACCCTATATAATAATGTATCTATTCAACATGAAACCTGAATTAGTCAAAATATTCTTGGCAGGTTTCATTTTTTCCATAATTAATTTTACTCATTACTCAAACTAAGCACAGTTTTGAAGTGTAAATCCCTGGATTCAAAAAGAATATAAAACCTTGCACTAACAGAGTTTTCTACAGCTTCAGTAACTCTTCCATACTCCGAGAATTTTTCTACATGTGCAGAAAATGTGAGCCAGAATCTTTTTTGATAAACATATTGACTGCAAAAATATCACTACTGTTTTGTTGGTAAATTGACTGCAATTTACCAACAGTCAATGGTAAATAAGAAATAAAGAAAGAAATAAAGAAATAAAGTCAGTCAACTCTGTTTCCTTTCTAATTTGATTACCAAAGTAATCAAAGATTACCAAATTTGATTACCAGTTCTGCTTGCAGAAAAGAAATTCGTATTCCTACTATTTAAATCCTAATTCTTCAGTATCAAAGCCAGGTCACTACTTCCAGGAAATTCTAGTATCTAAAGGGATATTTTAAAAAGACATCATGCCTTACCCTGACAAGGAAGGACACATGAAACATATTTTCCACAGTCCGTGCAAACGAGTTCGGATCAACCACAAAATCAAAGAAGGAAATGGATGTATTAGCTGGGGATGCAAAAATACCTTTGTTCAAACAACCAAATAAACAAACAGGTGGTACACACAGACCTGACAGATGTAAATACAAACTTAAGAGAGCCAGTGCACCTTTCAAAAGCTAAAGGGATGTTTTTCAATTTAGTTATAATCCAGAATTCCCAGTTGCCTGCAGTAACAGATCTTCTACAGAGTAGATTATGTAGTGTATTATTTTCTTCCATCATTTCCCCCACACAAATCCATATATTTGACTATTTAACTGCCATCTAAAAGTGGCAGAATTTAATCAGGAGCTTTGCATTTACTTTGCAGTCAAACAACAGCTGATTAGTGTTCATAAAAAATACATAGTTAGAATATGTGCTTCACCAAAGATATCTACTTGCAGACTTCATCTCATTTTGTCTCTGTAGTTTTACCATTCCAAATTGTAGAAGACAGAGAACATTCATTTTCCCTAGTTAATGTTTAATTTAATCATACTTACGATCATTTTCAAAATGAGTTTGCAGTATTCTCAAGATCCTCTCTACTTCTTTTTCTGTAGCTTCTAGATGAGACTGCTCCATTTCTTTTAACTGGGAAAAAGAAACAGAGATTCACTTCAAATAACTGTTGTAGAATTACCAGAATATACAAAGGGCTTCTTTTGAACATGTAACAAAATTGAATTTTTCTCCCTACATGCAAACATAACAAACACACTTATGCAAACATGAGACAACTTTGAAGAGCTTTAGGTTTAATTCCCATGTGACAATGTCAATCTGAAAGGCCATGGTTTGCATGTTTTGAGCCTATGTACAGGTGTACCCTTACTTTTCAATAGCTCTGAGGAGCTGGGTCACACAGTGCTACAGTCTGTCAGTTTAATGAAGATGAGCATTTAGAAGCAACCCACAAACCGTCCAGCTCCTCTTCTTCCCAGTACAAACTGTAACAAATCCTTTCTAGCACTATTTGGATTGAGCAGGCTGCCTTTGAAAAGGTAGCAATCAACCATTTGCCTCTATATCTTGGCATTATCACAGCCAAGGCTTCCCTGTAACAACATGGATTATATTTGCAGTTTCAGATGTAAGCCTCTTGCAGTGTTCCCAGACTTTTGCTTTTCTGCTAGTGAATGACACAAAGAAAAAGAAAACAGAAAACACAAAAAAGTGGTTATGTCAGCTAATTAGCTTGCTGCTATTAACCACATTTTGGTGCAAATGCCACACCCTGTTAGACATTTCTTAAAGAAACATGAACACCACACTAATGTAAAGAAGTTTCTTTTTTGTTTCCTTCTAAGCAACAGGCAACTGAACAAGTAAGCTGGTAACTTGAAAATCAGTTTGTAAACCCTACTGCTGAATGTGGCGAGGGTGTATCTGGCCTGGGATGGGTCCGGCTCACAGAGGGCAGGCCGACACCCCGCTGCAATCAGCGAGCACCCCTCGGCGTGTGAGGGCCTCGGGCCATGCTCGCCTGGGACCGATCTCACTGCCAGTGTGACTGTGAATCAGGAGCTGGACTCTCCATGGGGTTAGGTCCGGTCTGATGAACAACCCAGGATGACATCCAAGGAGAGGCCCCAGGGAAGGACCCCAAGGAAAAACCCCAAGGAGAGACCAAGAAATTGGGGTGAAACAAGGTTATAAAGGGGGTGGGTGTACAAAGGAGGGGTTTACACTGAACCAATCAGGAAGGGTGGAGGGATGAACTTAACATAACTGACGTAAAGGGGAATCCAATGAATACAAAGGAGAGGAGGGGTCCGGGGACCACAGCCAACCACAACCCCCAGAGAGAAGAAGACTCTGGAAAGTTGGGAGGAGTGGGGGGTTGTGAGATCCCAGCACCTCAGGACTGAGGTGCCGAGTCACCGAAACCACCCTTGGGGGGGCTCAAGAGTCCTGGAATGTTGCCAGCAGTGTCTGGTAGCTGGACTTTGATCCTACACAGGAGACGACACCTGTATGAGGATAGGAGGATTTCACCGGAGTGAATGGTGAAGAGATAAGTTAATTAGAGAGTGAAACACAGAGTTTAAGATTTCTGTACAGGGGGGTTTAGAGAAGTAAAATAGAAAAATTAGAGCGTGTCCTGTCCTTCTTCTTCTTCTTCTTCTCCTCCATCTTCTGTAGTGATAGTAGCACTTTGAGATTAGTCATTACTAAAAGTGCACTGGTTAATAAGAGTAAAAAGTATTGAAGAAAAATGATAAATATTGTATACGTAACTTTGAGTATAAAGATAATAAGTGACCGCCCCGGAGGGAGGGGAGTGTGCTCATGGCTGGCTGCTGAGCAGACCTCTGTCAGGCTGAAAGAAAATCTTTTAGATAAGCAATTAATAAACACAGAGACCGAGAAAAGATTTGAAGCCTCTTCTCATCCTTTGAAGCGCGAGCTGCCTCAAGGCCACCCCGAGCCTTTCCAGGCCATCCAAACAGCCGAAAATCAGACAGGGGGTGATTGACTGGGCCCAGGGAGGGGGAAACTATACATATATGGGTAGGAGATGGAGGAGAAATTATATAACCAAGAAAACTGACACCCCCAATGGCGGGAGTTGCCTTGGGGATAACTTAACTGGCAGGGCTAGACAGGGGGAGGGCAGAACCATTTACATTTAACAGGGAGAAACAATACATAAAATAGGGAAATAATACAACAAACTTA